AGCATGGTCACGAAAATGACTAAAATGACTAAAAACTGCAAAACAGATGCTGCAGTGACGTATAGAAGGCCACAACACCTGTTACATCTGCGTATTGTGATAGTCACCTGTGCTTAGTGAGTCGCATTAAAGGAATAGAAATTGCTGCTGAACAGTTGCCGAGTTTCAGCCTTATTTTACAGTCCAGTATAGTACTATTCACAGAGTTTAGATTAGGGACAGCATCATGTTTACGTTTTAGTGAGAGCAATTTAAAATCCACTATATCAGAAAATACATTAAGGATTAAAAGATAGTGGACCAGGAAGTAACATGGAAGTAGAACAGCAGCGTTCAAAACCCAATGTTCCAATATTCTTCTTTTTCCAATTCTGAAATGCACTTACATGGTGTGTCTAGTGGTTTTACAAGAAATAAGAAGGGATTTTTTGTGTCACATGACCTTTTGTACTCCCTGCTGTAGTGAAGTCCACATCCAGGAAGTACAGTACGGAAATGAAGAGATGCAAGGAAGGAAATGATATGTCAGACACAGGTAAGAGGATCAGAGATTCATTGCATCAGTGCTTGATTTGTTTTCCTATTACAGATACAAATTCAACCAGTGAAAAAACGAGCTGCATTGCAATGTAGACAAGTGTTTATTGTGGTGCAACCTGCAGCCTGTAAGCAGCTTTTTAAGACGAAGAGTACAAGATGACCACTAGAGACATGAAAAAGTCATTACAGAGCCTGCCGTGCTCCCGACATCATATTCAGTGTATATGTTGTTATGCATAAATATTACAATAAGCTGCAACATTGCACATGAAGCTGGGATGAGTATCCCTGTCCACAGTTGCAGAGAAAAGAGAGAAAAACAAAAAAGCTGAGCAAAAGCTGTGACCCGGAGCGCCCATCAGGAAAAGTCAAAAAGGAAAAGTGAGGAAAAGAGAAAGGAAATCACTGACGGGGAAAAAAAAAGTGGAACAATGGAGACACAGTCCGAAAAAATGAAGTTTTAACTGCACAAGCCACAAGCCAGGTGATAGTCACCAACACACATGCACACAGACAACGTGGCGTATGCACCCAAATTACAGCAGTCTAGTCAGGTTCAAATGTTGTAGCAGGAAGACTAAACAATCCAAACACTCCCTCAGAGCTCTGCTTTTTTTAGATCAACACCTCCACAATTCTGCTTAAGAAAAGCATCTCACCAAAAGCTCCATTTAGTAGCTGTTCTGGAGCTTTCGATCATATCGCATGACCTTCCTTCATCAGCAGATGGGAGTTTGTCCAGTTGTCATGGAATTATAAATGTTCACAAGTCCATTTTTCACTTCCTGGGCTGATTAAGATCATGTGATGTAATAAAAACGCCAGGGCAGCTACTAAATGGACCTTGTGGTGAGACGGATTTCTTATCTTCAATGCTAATATGGACCAGAAGTCCTTACATAAAGTGCAAAGGAAAACAATAGAAATTTGAACATTGACAATGCCATGCAAACTCCATCTGCTGATGAAGATCATGTGATCTGATTGAAAGCTCCAGACCAGCTAGTGAATGGACCTGGTGGTGGGATTGATAACTTGGCAACAATAGATGACACTAATGACAGTCCAACACAAACATATCCGGGCATCAAATGACAAAAAATGTTGGGCTATGAACTAAACTAACAAAACCACATTCATGAAATCCTCGAACATCCGTAGCCTTTCTACAGATGTTCCCTTTTTTACGCTGACCGACATTTTTCCATCCTAATAGTTCATCTAAAGAGTATGAGCCGGTGGTTTCTAGTCTGTGTTTTTGTTTTTCGGTGGCGGACAGAGACCAGACAAGACATCTGGTCCCAGATTAGACTAGTGTGTTTAAGACAGGCTTATGACTCCGGTGGCCTGGAACATTGAAGGGTTCCAGACTCAACCAATTATGGGCCGCTAACTCCATGCTGACTTCTTACTGTATGAACCCATGAACTGCCAGCAATGCATACACCACACATGAAAAGCTACAAACGAGGAGCTGGCTGGTTGTAGAGCTGAAAGAGATTAGTGGACCAACAGAATATCAACCTGCAACAATCTGGATCATTCTTTAACCATCTAGGTCCTTTTGTCTGGGCAAAAAGTCAAAAAAAATAACTGGTTCCAACTTTTCAAATGTGAATATATATATTTTATTAGTCTCTGCACTATTTGTCTTTGGACAAAATAAACCATTTAAACATGCCGACTTTGGGGAAATAATTGTTAGTTGCAGGCCAAAGGAAAGCTTTAATATAAAAAATGTCACTTTGATGTGAATTAGGAGCTGGGGAAAAAGAGAGAGAGAGGAAAGCCCAGATGGCAGGCCTGGGGGAAACACAATAAATAGAGTTGGTTGTGAGATTTACAAGAGCTCATATCTATTATCTGAGTGTGTGCTGAGCTGTACCAAGACCCTTCATCATGAGGGGAACTTCAGATCACAGTGTACTGTCCTCTGATTAAAATGCCCCTGCCTCCAGCTGGGATAATTGCTCAGGTCACTTGCCAAATCCAGCTAGTAACTTTGATGGGGGGTGGGGGGGGGGAGCATTCAACAAAGATCTGGTGCCTGAGGATCAAAGTCATCTGACTTCTTTAAGAGCAAAAAAAAAAGTGCATTACACAATGTGTTTCTTACAGAACAAAGCATTCAGGTGACTACTTTCAAGTTGCAGGACTCCCCCCCCCCCCACAGCCTGACATTAATACAGAATGACCGATATTCATGGGTTCTACTTACTGAGTCGTAATCTGAGCCCAAGCCAGCTCCTCGGTGGAGATTTGTGCAGAACTGAATTCATGGTCCACTTGTTTGGCACCATCTATGCATGCAGTCCTTGAAAAAGAAAAAATCCCCCCCGTCGCAGCTCCGTCTGTCGGTGCTCGATGCTAATCACCCAGCGATGTTTAATTAGCCGTCTTCTCTCCAAGGCATTCTCACTTTCTTCCCATTTCTCCTCAGCACGGTGAGATCTGTGGTCGGTGGCGAGCACAAAGCGGTGCAACTCGCATCGCCGGGGCAATGCACGGAAAAGTGTGGTTAAAAAAATTAAAAAAAAAAGCATCCAGGAGAAGTTAACACCGGGTCTAACAGCCGCTGAGGTGCAGAGCAACGTTTGGAGTCCGTGCTAAGCTTTGTATAACCTGTTGCTAGCTGCACACATGCGTAAAAGAAAGCTCCTCGACGTCTGTTGGTGAAGCTCGGTCGGTGCAGGAATGGAGATTACGAGAAGAAGAAGAAGAAGAGGGGGAACAAACCTTCTTTGTGAAGCTTTAAAGAAGCAAAACTGTGGATGGAGTTAATTGTATCAACTTTACACAACGTGCCGTTGAAGTTGGACACATTTTGTTTTGGGGGGGGTGGGGGGCCTGCTTCGTCTCGCAGGCCTCTCTGATCGACCATCGGCTCTCCATTCATTCACACAACCTGAATCCACAAAAGACTCGACGCCGTGTGTCGAGACTGAGGCGCAATGTGGCCGCTAGAGGCGCCAGAGAGACAACAACAACAACAACAACACGTCCAGTCGTTAACAGCACACAAACCAAAAGAACATTCAGTTTCTGAGGGATTTTATCCAAGAAACACCCAGCTGTTTCTCAACCAAGTTATATCTGAAAATAGTCAAGAGGAGACAACATATCAGCCAAAATGAAAATGTAAATACTTTTACTAAAGAACAATTTTGAGGTACTTGTAGGCTACTTTACTTGAATATTTCCATTTTCTATTACTTTTATTACACAGCAGATAAAGTAAAATGACAACATTTAAGTGATATAACGTAACATATGCATAAATAATTATAATATCATGATGGTTTGGAGGCTTAGAATAGAAAAATAATAATACTTGCACAACCATAAGATTAGATTGATGCTTAGTGTGGAATTTTCAAACAAGCTTTACTTTTACAAGAGAAAGCCACATCATGTGTGAGGAACATTTAAAACATAGCAGAAACCTGAAAATCTGCACAATCAGAAAGCTGGGGGACATTTGGTATCTTTGCTTTAAAAATACCTTTTCAAAATTTATATTTTCTATCAATTAATTAATCCTGTTTTTGAACAGAACTCGAGCTAACAACTTGCTCTATTTAATTGACGTACTAACTTTCCCTTTCCAGGTTACACCGGGTATGTTTAACATACTACTAAACCCATGGCAGCAGCGTCAAGTAAAAGTCTGGTTTTTGCTTGCTCGTTATAAAATAAACAATTTGTGTTATTTCTGATCACTCAGGTTCATGTTGACCGTCTAGTGCCGCCTCTACAGTGGGATTTCTCTTTGGTTTGCATGAGGTCTATGAAGAAAAACAATGACAAAGCCAAAACAATGACGCTGCCAAAATGCATCTGTGTTGTGTTTGTGTGCTCCCACCCTCAATAAAGAGGCGGGGAACAGCGGACAAAGAAAAACGAGGGGGCAGAGAGAGGGGATGTTAAAACAGCCCGCTTCACAAATTAGCAATTCTTCACTGTGAGAGTGTATATTCATGACCGAGTGCTCCTTCCATTCTCAGGCAGATCATTTAAAAGGTCAGTCTACGTACAGTTACAAGTCGCTCTCATGAGTTTTGTGATTAGACTTGATTTGTTTTTTAAAATCGATATGAAACATTTAAGTTATTCAGTATTATAAGCCATGGTCTTTGACAGTTTTCTATTACTGCCATTGAGATATGGCAGTATCTGTGTTGAGAGCAGAATCTCAACACATGTGCTGCCCCCTTGAGGTCCAAAAGGTAGCACCAAGAAAGAAAAAAAGTCCCTAAATATTATCTTTTATATGCCAGAAGAGCCTATATAAGAAAACAGAAACGTTGCATTTAAAAAATGCATTGAATGACTTAAGAGTACAGGACCGCTTGTGTGTCCCTTTAATAACACAATACCAAATGTACAGCAGTTAATGTGGAGTTAATCAGCACAAAAAATAGAGCCATTTATGTAAATCCTCCCACTATTAAAGCACAATACTGACAAAAGGGGCTTCAAATTCAAACTAAATGTCAGGGGAAAGATCCCTGCTTGACTCTGCCCTGTTCTGTACTTGAGTGTTGGGTGCAGGCAGAAACAACATGCAAAGTCTTGGCAGTGGGCATTTTTGGGATAAAATGGTTTTAGTACCATTGCCTCTAAATCTACATGGATCCATGACTATGAACCAAATACCAACGTCGGTCTAAAACGGCACATACACAAGAAAACCACAAAGTTTTATTAAAAGGCGTTTCTCATTTAATATCTGGCAGGTTTTTGCATTCATTTGCAGCTTTGGAATGCCAACTACACAATGAAGAGACATCACAGAAGAGCTGCAAGTACTAAGTGTGACATTATTGTCCATGTGACAGAAAACACAGAAGCTCCTTACGGCCCCATCAAACATATACACACACAGTAGGAGGTTGTAAGTCCATCACAAGGAAGGCAGCCATCTCCTCCTGCAGAGTCCGTGATACTGGCTGTTCTGTCCATCCTCAGTTCTGTACATTCAAAAGGCCAATTCTGACTGGTTTGGCGTGAGACACCACTCAAGAAGTGTAACGGGCAGTGCGATGTAGAAAATGTCATTGCGGCCCCATTTGACTTGGTCTCATCAGTCCCTTGAAGACTCGCAGCTTTCCTGCACCAGTGAGATCAAAACTGTAGTCCGTAGTGACATAGGGCATCTCTCCTTCAAAGCCCGGCTGAAACACAGACAAAAAGGGACTGTAAGTAATGGTAATATTAAGCTTTAAATTAAACTTTATACGTCAAAGTGTTATGAAAGAACAGAGCAGTCTTCTGACCTGTGTTGTGAGGATGCAGGAAGGCAGCGATATCGCGCCCATGAGGAGACAATTGACCTTACAAAGGATGGCGGGATCTACAGGCGTCAGCAAAAAGTACAGACCTCGCACCATGTCGATACCTCGGAGCACACCTGGAAAACATTAGCATTTCAATTCATTGACGTTTTACATTTCAATTCAACAGCCAGGAGCCATTACCTAAACACTAATGTTCTGTTTGGTTACAGTTACAGTGACTCACCGCTGCCTTTTAGTGACCTGGTTCATGATGCAAACTTATTTGCACAAAATCTTGCAAGGCAACATGATCATAAACCTCAAAGTTTTAAGACCCTGCAGGAAAAACCCCAACAACCTAAATTGCTGGTTAAAGGAATGTCCAATCCCTTACCCATCAACTACATGCCACGGCCTGGTGAGAGAATCCAGGTCCTCTTTAAACATACGTAACATTGTTTTATCACCGTGACACTTTATGACTTTTGCAAGTCTTAAGAGAACTGCTGATAAAAGGATACGTACCGAAGCCCACACATGGGCAGATGGGAGCCTGGGACAGCAGGACCGGGCCCCCCCTGCTTGAGACTTGCTCCCCTAGGCAGCAGAGTCCCACCAGACTAGCATTGGCAGCATAAAACATATGACTGGGCACGACCTCACAATGGATCACACCTAAAGCTACTGCTGTATGGGGCACCTATGGGTCAGAGGGAGAATAGTTAGGTTCTTATAAACACCACTTAAATGGAAGTGAATTAAAAAAGACGTAATAAAAATGAATACATCTGCAGCATCATGACTCGTGTACCTGGTATGGGACGAGGGTGTGTAGAGGTCTGACTGGTCCGGGGTCAGGAGACTGCAGCTGACTCAGGTAGGCCAGCAATGACAGCTCTCTGTGCTCATTAGTACGCTGGTGCTTTCTATCAAACACAACGCACCCACAGAAAAGTATGTAATAATGAAGGGTTTTTTTAACATGTCAATGCCAACACGGGTTGATGGTGGTGCACTTACGCGGTTCCTTGGCGCCCCACTCCTTGAAACTCTGACTGTATAATGAGGTGAGTGTAACTTCTGGGCGGACTGTGGCTCTGCGTAAACTCGTCCAGAGCGGTCTGGGCCGGTGGGTGCGTTTGGCAGCCGTGTGCCGTCCTCAGAAACTCCGGAGTGAGGGCGGGGCACTGGGTGATACCGCTGTGACCGAGCTGGACGACGTGCGAGACCGGGAAGAAGCGGATCATGTCCACGAGCAGCTGAAATCCAAACCCTGTGGACAGCCCCGTACAAGCACACGTTCAGACACTGATTCAAGAGAGTATAGCTCTTCATATTCTGTCATAGAGGGGAGCTTGAGCTGACCTTTCACCCAACCCATGGTGTTGATAATGACGGGAGTCTCTCTGGTCTGGGACCGTCTACGCCACAAGGATTTAAGGGAGTCCAGGTAGCGTTCTAAGTCTGTCTCGCATGACGAATGACCATAGTAGACCATGTGCTTTGGTGTGCACTGATGTGTGAAAGGAGGACCTGGAAAATAACTCAACTTAAGTTAACAGTTCTGATAGTGCAGATAAATAATGAAAAGAACAGTTTGACATTTTGGGAAACATTATTATTATTATTATTAGCCTTTTTGTGGGGAAGATTGATACCACTTAAATATCTGTGTGTTGAATATGGAGCTACAGCCAAAAAACAGTCCGGCACAAAACCCAAAAACCATATCAAATGTTAATTAGTAAGCTTCACATGTGCTGGTAGGCGGGATCTGTTCTGGTTGGATGGAGCGAGGCTAGCGATTTCCCAGCAAGAGAGCGAATAAGCTTATTTCCCAAAATGTTTAACTATTACTTTCTAATACACACTAAAAGGATGCTTTGCACCATGTGTGTTTAATATAGACCGTTTGCAATGCAACAATGCAATTCTGTTGAAATGATTTAGAGCATTTTACAGACTTCAAAGCATCAAGAGGATTTAAAACGTACCCAGAAGTGGTCCTCTGACAGTCGACAAAGACAGGCAGCCAGAGGGAGTGAACTCCGTTTGACCGAGGTCACCTTCCAAATAATCTACACTGGCAGTGCTACAGACACACACACAATTAGTTTTTTATGAAAAACATTAGAACATAAAATCACAAAACAGACGTGACTATGGACATTTGATGTCAATGGATGCAGCAGATTGTACTTGAATACAAAAAAAGAAATAAAGATTACAACTAATTATATATCACACAACGATCATAGGTATATGCAACACTAGATCACGCTAAATCTAGCATAGAAATATAAAAATATTACTAAATAATACTGTACATTTATAAATAAGAATGAGAACTTACTGATTTAGTAAGTTATTGATGAGGGTGCGGATGAACGTCGACTTGCCCACGTTCTTGATACCACAAACAAGGATGACAGCACAACCATCCATGTCCCCTATGAATGACAGACGTGCGTCAGTGCAGGATCAAATGTAAGTGTGCAGCTATTATCAGACATGGAATAGATAGCATTGCTCTCTCCATCCATCTGTTAAAGGGATGGCTTTTTGTCACTCAGACACCGATGTCCGGAATAGAAATGGAGACAAGAAGTGAGTGAGAGAGAACAAAGGTTACCACTCCCCAGTTGGATTAAAACCGGCCACTAGCTGTACATGGTAGGCGTTTTAACCCCGAAGCCATTTCATCACCCCATCAATTTTATAATTAAACAATATTGGATTTTGAATTCTGCTTTCTAGTTTATAATGTCTGGCAGTAAACGAGCATTGAGTGAAAAGATGGTAAATATGGACTCGCATTCAATTTCTAATTGCTCACACGCTTTCAGAGAAATGTATCACAGTGATCTTTAGTAAGTTCAACGAGACGCTTTTAATTTCTCTCTGTGCATTTAAACTTTTGCAGACATGAGGCTGACATGTAAAATTGCCATAACCTTTAAGCAACGTGTCTAACGTGTGCTTACCTCTGCATGCGCTGACAACCATGTTAAGACCATCTCTGTAGCTCTTTGACATTTTCAGGCCCTCGATGGCTGTCCCCAGGGGAATCATCCCCAAACCATTGAGCGGAGTGTCAAGAACAGCTGACATGAGTTCACTCTACAAGTAAAAAAAAAGCTTCTGTTAGACATGTAGAGACTGACTTTTCAAAACGACCTAAACATGAATTCTGCCTAAGTTCTCATCATCTCCTGATTCTAGCTCTATTCCAAATTCAATGTAGTTCAACTTTTTTTGTGATTAGTTGAATACTGACAGTAGCTTGATGTACAAATATCCCGTCAACTCACTGCGGGGGGGTTGAACAATTCACTGAGATCTGTGAAGCTCGACAGGAAGCGTGTCAGAGGCGTCTCCATGGGCTCCAGTAGGATGATGGAGGAGTTTGACGTAATCCTTTTTAGCAACTTCTTCCGTGATGCTGCAAGACACAAAGAAAAATACAGTTCATAGCACAAGCTTCCTAATACGCAGCTAAGCAAAAATGAATATACAATAATTACATCACTCTCTTCTAGCGGGATAGCCTGCTTCTGCGTTTACCTGGTTGCAGATACTTTCGGAGAATGGGTAAAGCCTCCGTTCTGTCATCTCTGGTTTGGTCAGCGCTTTCCAGAGCTCTAATGGTCAGTGGACAGTGTGAGGCTGGGGAGAAGAGTGGATATGACTGCTGGCCTTCTTCAATGGTGAACCCCATCACTTCCACTCGACCGTACAGACAGGTCAAAAGGCACTTCCCACGGAAACACAAAGTCTGCGGGAGAGTAAATTGTAATGCTCAGTCAGATAAATGGATAAAAAAAAATAAAAATACATCTTAATTGTTAGCAGATCATTATCAAAATATCCTGAAGCACACCTGATTCTTCTGCATGACAAGTACCGCATGGTTTTGTCGATCGTCTCTCTCTGCACAGTGATGGAGAGACTCTCCGTCCACTCTACCTGGGCTTACATCGTCCAGGTCACCCGAGGTCTCCACACCGTTCCCGTGAATGGACTTGGAATACTCCTTCCAGTCCTGCGTGTCATTTGACTCGTCATCCATTGTAAACGCTGAACTCCCGTTAGTCTGCGTGTGAGATTTCTTTAATCCAGCCTGAGGGGTGTTTTTCTTTATGTCAGAGACGGGCTTTGCCTTACTCTTCAATCTCTTGACGGTGGGCTTCTTCATCACAGACGCCTGGTGCTCCTTCGCTATTCTGGCCATCACAGGACTGGAGACGAGCTCTGAGGAACTGATGGGAGGCCGGCACCTTTTGCCCCTCACATCCCTCCACTTCAGAGATTTTGCTTGGCCCTTGACCGGTTTGAGTTTATTCACCTTCATGATTCCTGGAATCAACAATTATTCATGTGGGCTGCTGATGAAAAACAGAAGGGGAGAGCCTGCAAAGAGAGAGGCAAGGAAAGGATTAGCATCTGAAAGGACAGGTGTCACTATGTTGTTATCTCCACGAACAAGGAATGGCAATAAATTACCATTTACGAAATAATTAATCAATAACATGTGGTTAAAGAGGTACTCAATAAGACAGTTAACGTTACAATACTAATAAACTGTATTCGTATATCACCTTTAATACAATAAACGCAATTCAAAGTGCTTTAGTTACAATAAAGTACAGTGCTTGAGTAAATGTACCCAAGTGGCAGTAACGTCATTCATATTAAAAACACATTAGCCACAGCTAGCTCGATGTTACAGCAATTCGAACGCAGTTGAAAGCTATGCTAACCACGCTGAAACGTACAACAAGCTAACGTTAGCTGTAACGTTATATTTCTTACAATGCACGTTAGTTTGTCAACACGTGAGGCTGAGCAATTAATAAATAAATACACACATACACTACAAAGAGGAACTAACTAGTTACAGCTAGTTAGCTGGCAGACAACAATGCATTTTAAACTTGGCGTGAAGTTACCTGACAGCTATGCTAACTGTTAGCTAATATTGCTGCATTCAGATGGATAAAACGTACCCCCGCTTGGGAGAGAAACAACGCAGGACTGTAGAGATGAGTCTGAAGTTTCGTATTAAATAGATACCGTTTATAATTGGTTAAAGTGGAGCCAAAGAGCTGGCCAACTGTTACTGAGGCTAACAAGCTAGCTTAGTTACATGTGTGAGCCACTAACAGAAGCCGCGTCTAGATGGTCGACTATGGTTTAACCCGGAGTTTTATTATTTACGTTTACGTTATTAGGTAAAACTATTACACTGTATTTAGCCTATTCACAGACAAATAATAATTTAAAAGACTTAATGTAGCTACAAATAAAAATCATACATGTAGCTATTTTATTGTTACTGGTGTGCCTCTGGGTGTTTAATAATGGACAACAAGCAAGTTTCCCTGGGTTTCGGTCGCGTAAATAGCGTCACATCCTCTTCCTTTGGCAGTTTTTAGGGGCCTGCAAGAAACGAAAACGAAGCATGTAGGTTAGCTTATTTGCTACGTTTTCAACCTATTTACAGTACATCCGAAGCAGGTGCAGCTTAACTATATGAGAAATAAATAATCCGTTTTTAATCGATCTTGCAGATGTGAGTCTCAGAATGCAGCTGTCGAGTGCGAACCTTGCTAAGGGATCGTCTTAAAATGTGTGCAAGGAAATAAACGTTGAGGTGCGTAACTCGGGTAGGTTGGGGTTTTATAATCATTTAATTTCAATCAGTCTCAACATCATAAAAACGAGCAGTCTAGGAAAATATAGGTCTACGAGAAAACTTAATTTTAATAGTCAATATATTTAATGTACCACTGACACAAATGTGTTAACCTGATGCAACTGATATCAAGCTCCCCAAAAAGCTCTCCAACACTTATTGAAATGTTATTGTTTCAGGTATGCAATGTTGTTTCGTAATTTGAATTGAACTCTATACAAGTACATGTATTTGCAGTGTCATAGATGTAAAATTGTCATCATTTGAATTATTGTTCTCATACATTTGGCCCTTAAAATTAACTTGTTTATATTGTGTTTATTTGGGATTTGCACCTTGTTGATATTTGATATGTTATATTCTATATTTCTCCTTTGTATTTTAACAGCAATTTCCCTTGGGACAAATAGTTATATCTTATGTTATTTTATCTTATCTTATGTTTGGCCATACAATGAATGTGACTCTGTTTTACACTCACTCTGGAAATAGTTGTTCTTTTAGTTCTGTTGATTTACTAAATGATTAATCGACTAATCCATCAGCTCTAAGAAAATAGATATACAGCTACAACAAGGAAAGCAAGCATAATAAACAACTATAAAATGTACAGGCAAGTAGATGGAATATATATAACCAACATACAACCTCTGTATTAGAGTTTAAATGATTAGTCTACCGACATAAAAAATTAATTAATAAATATATATATATATCTACATAAAAGTTTTTGATCAATTGTTACTCATTCGTTTCTTTCACTCAAAAATACCAAGTATTTTTTAAATTTTAGATACTCAGATGTGTGTATTTGCTACTTTCCTTTGACATAAATGGTAATAAACTGATCAATGGGAAATTTGGATTTTCACTATTTTCTGACGTTTTATCGATGACGCTAAATAGATTTTAAAAAATAGTCGCTGGTTGTAGCACTAATCTAAACTGTTACTGTAAATTGTGTGTACAAATAGTATGTAAAGTGACTTTATATAGAGTATCATGTCCCTGTGTCTCATTCAGCAGCAGACTTCAGTGAAACCGGAGGGATGCCTGCAGCAGAGAGCAACCATGCACTGCGTGTCCTGTCCTCCCTGAACCAGCAGAGGGCAGTAGGGAGGTTTTGTGATGCGGTGTTAAATGTAGGAGACAGGGTGGTCCACTTGGCCCATCGCAACATCCTTGCCTGTTTCAGTGAACTGTTCCAACAGTCCAACATGCCCACTGCACCGTGCACGGAATTCTGCCTGCAGGAGTGTCCCACTGACGGTCTGGAGCTGCTCCTGAACTTTGTCTACACCGGAGAACTGAAGTTGGATCCGGACAACCTCGAGAAGGTGCAGCATGCAGCGGCCAGCCTCTGTGTGCCAGAAGCACTCACACTCTGTAATCAGTTCAAGGAAACTTCTGTGGATCCTGTGCCTCTGAAGCGCAAAAGGGGCAGACCTAGAAAGTCTACATCAGACACAACCCCTTATTCTTCAGTCAAAGAAGAGAACTTGCTTACAATCACAAAAGATGAGTGCAGCCTTGATACTGCCACTGCCAATTGTAGCATGGCCGCCACTACCACCACCACCCGCTCTGGTCGTGTAGTGAAGGGCCCCAGGCGACTGGTGACTGTCGAGGGCCCCACCACAGATTTTACAGCCCCAGAAAAAGTCAGCAAGAAGGCTCTGCTTATACCCATTGAGACAGAAAGTGGTGATGATGTTGAGGGGAACCGAAACCCAGATCATCCAACTGGTGAAACCGAGGTAAAATACACGAGTATTACAGTGATTGGAGATTTGCTGCATTTAACTGCAAGTGCAAATTATGGTGATTTTAAAGATGAATATGGTGTTTATTATTATTATTATGACACTTGTGTTGTGCTGTTTGCAGATAACTGACTTGCAGATTGACATAAATGATAACGGTGTCAGCCAGGTATTGGAGGAAGAAGAAGAAGAAGAGGACGATGTGGGGGATTTTGAGGGGATCCCTGAAGACACCGATGAGGAGTATGTGCCTGTTGAAGAGCCCCTTTCCTCAGCCCCGTCAACATCAAAGGCACGGAAGTGCAAAGTCCAGAGTAAAATGGACCAAAACAAGAACAGTGAGGCTATGGAAGAAGACTCCAAGAAGGATTCTGTGCAGTGTCCCATCTGTGACAAATCCTTCAAGAGCAAATACTATCTCAAAGTCCACAACAGGTATACAACGTCGGTATTTTCACTTCAGACAACTGTTGAAAGAATAGCCACCAATGTGTCTCCTTCTGCAGGCGGCATACAGGGGAGAGGCCCTTTGGCTGCCTTAAGTGTGGAAAGAGGTACTTCAGGAAGGAGAATCTTTTGCTCCATGAGATCAGAGACTGTGCTAAAGTACAGGTGAGCACCTCTGAATTCTGTCTTCAATATCAAGTAAGATCCTAGAAAGTGTTCCAAACATAGGTTGTTTTTTTTTGTGCTGTGTTAAAATGTCAGACGTACACCTGTGTGACATGCTCCTCAACGTTTAACGGAAAAGAAGCGCTACGTTTGCACGTTGTGTCCCACACAGGGAATATGCCCCACAAGGTACTGCCTAATAAACACAGAACAAACACAGCATACTTATGTCAAATCTAAAATGAGTTTCTTAAAAATATTATTAACACGGTGTCATTTTTTTCAGTGTTCAATATGTCCTGAACAGTTTATGCACAAGAAAAACTTGACAATTCACATGATGAAGGTCCATGGTTATCCCAAACCACATCCAGTAAGTTTCCTTACCTACTGGTGATGTACCTTCAGTAAATAGTGATTTTCTGCTTTGAATTGTGTCGCAAAGCTTAAGGTTTCTTTTATTTTCCCCTCTGAATCCAAGGTATAAGCCCGTTTCATTCTGTTAAAACATTGTTTTACTTTCTAGTGTCCGCAGTGTCCTAAAACATTCTTAACTCGGTCAGAGCTGCGTGTGCACGAAGCAGCCAAACATCGAGGCGAAAAGCCGTTTGTGTGCGAGGAGTGTGGCCATCGAGCCTCTAGTCGAAACGGCCTGCAGATGCATATTAAAGCCATCCACAGGTACTGGAACAGGTTTCTCTGTCTGGTTTCATCAGACTAGAGGGACCTAACATCTCTGTCAGTACCTGTAAATATGGTGATAGTATTTGTGCATATTGTCTCGAGTCTCTTTTTTTGTTTTGCTTTACAGAAATGAGCGCCCTTTTGTATGTAACATATGTGGCCATGCGTTCTCCCAGAAGAACAACCTAAACATGCATCTGCGTATACACAGTGGTGAGAGGCCCTACCAATGTCACCTCTGTGGCAAAACCTTCAGGACGCAAGGTATCAGCCATCCTTCCTGGTCTGCTGCTGTCTTCATCACTGTGAACACAACTATGTTGAATAGATTACATCGCACGCACGCACACACAGCTCATGAAGGCAGTCAGTACCTCCAATGTCCATCGTTGAATAAACATCCCATCAATCCGCCAAAAGAAATGGAAAAAAAATGCTCCATACTATTCCAGAGGTGCCTGAGAATCACCAAGTGTTTTAAAGTTTTCCTCAGTATCAAAGTTATGCTGCGGTAGTCTATACATCCATGGTTACATTACAAACCGAAATAGCTAATAGGTAATTCAACATGCTTCTAATGGTGCCAATTTGCCAAAATCAATACAAATATAGCCCACTTTGTAACTAACTGAATCTACCGCCACATGCTTTCTGTTTACGTCCCCAACGGAGTTATGGGAATTGTAGTTCCACTATTTAGAGCATGAGTACATGATTATCCTACAAATACAAGTAAGATTGTAATAAGAGTGACACAATCTATAAATATCAACTTTTCTTCGTGTTGCAGTCACAGTAATCCCTGGGTTAGATTAAGAAATAATAATTATATATACAGTATATAAGGATATGTGTATTGTATTAATCATTGTCTTTTTAATACCAGCCAGTCTAGATAAACACCACCGGACCCACACTGGTGAGCGTCCTTTTAGCTGTGATGTTTGTGAGCAGCGCTTCACAGAGAAAGGAGCCCTCATCCGCCACAAGGCCAGCAAACACGAGGAGGGCCGCCCCCACTGTTGTCACATCTGTGGCAAAACCTTCAAAGGTAAGATATATATCATGCTGATTATACAGCGTGCCCCGGTGAGCACGGAGTCAAGCACTCACTAATGTGATTCTTCTTCTTGTTTTTGCCTTCATCAGCGAGGGAGCAACTTCGTGTTCACCTGCGTCGCCATAAGGGCATGAGGAAGTTTGAGTGCATCGACTGCGGCTACAAGTTTACTCGACAGGTAGGCTTGCTGGAAGGGGCTGCAAACAATTATTCACGGTTTTGGTTACTCCCATTGTGCTACACACAGATGGGACTCAAATCCACAATCCTTGATTTAGGAGGCCAGTACCTTATCCAGTAGATAACCGAGGCTGCTGCAGTTGTTGCTGAGCCACTGTTTACAACCACTGTTCAGTGGTATTCACACTGTATTCCTTTTTTAAATCACTTTTCTATGGACGGGGATGGTAGCCTTTGTGTGAAATTAAATCATGGAATGTGCCTGAATGTTAGTGGCTGTGTGTTGTTGTTTATTGCGGCCCACACTGCAGACTAATTGTTTGATCTATAAAAATGTCAAAACAAGTGAAAAATGCCTGGCACAGTTTCCCAAAGCTGAGGAGTCCAAAACCCAAAGATGTTCAGTTTACTATCGCAGAAGATGGAGAATAACAGCAAATATTCCGATTTGAGAGGCTAGAATATCTGAATATTTTGGCCATTTTGGTGAAAAAGGCATTACAGTTGCAAAAAATGTATAATGTATATCTGGATAAAAGAAGATCCCCCTTCTCATAAACACGAGGTAAGCAATCTCACTGCATGCAATATAGGCTGAGTGTACCAAATTTTCACTTAGAATTCATTTTTTCAGTTTAATATTTTGTCTTCTATTGACCCCCAGTTCAATTTGAATTAATGAATTTAGCCATTTTTCTTAATAAATATGGGCGTACATGGGTATCTAAGACATTTGTAAATCTTTCTTTTGTTTTATTTGTGTATGTATTTAATATTATTATGCTGTCGTTTTTACTTTCTAAAACATCAATTTAAAAAGTAGCTTCTTTTTTTTTTTACATCCAAAAACAATATATATTGGATTACACATTTTCTGTCCATTGACTAATCAATTAATTGACTGATTCTGACCCTCACATCTCTATATGCTTCCTCTTCCAGGCACACTTGCGACGACACATTCAAATCCACAAACGCACGGAGAACTACAACCCCCGGCAGAGAAAACTAAGGAACGTTATAGTGCAGGAAGTGGACGGCGAGAGTCCTGGTGAGAACGAAGCAACGAAGGAAGTGCAGGACGCATTGATCGCCGAGGAGACCACTGACGAACAGGAATCTACAAACGCAGAGCCTGACTCGGGGACAGGCCTCACTTCTAGTTGCATAGTGGGGGTGATGATTGAGTCGAGCAGCGTGGTAATGGAGGCCGTGGTGTCCAACCAGAACCTGGGACATGTCGAGGCGGCAGAGAGTTTCTCTGTGCCAGACGTCTTGCAGCAAACACAGCTGGTCACTGAGGCGTACGAGTCCACGATGGACATGGAGGAAATGGTTGAGAATATACCAGAGACTAAGACCTGAAGGACCAGAGACTGTGTGTGTGTGTGCAACCCACTCAGAGTGGACGTTACTGTGAAGACCACTTCCTGAATGAGAAGCACCTACATGTGATGAAAAGACATTTGGCCTTACAGTTCCAAAGATGACACTGCAACATAGTCAGCTACTGTTGACTTTCCAGCCATGAAAGAGAAGAAGAGCAGCAAGTCATTCTCATGCTTTTAGTAGTTAACTGTAAATGAACCGCATGCGTGTGAAGGATACATGAATGTGAAACCATGCTTTTGCAGCTAGACTCTGGAAAATCTAATAAACTATCCTTGGTGCAGCATATTTTGGGAAATTGTCTTTCACGATGAGAAGATTGCTACCACTCACATATCTGTTCTTTAAATATAATGTTCACACTACGAGTGACAAAAGCAGCAAAACGTTCCAAGCCTTAATTGGAATGAAGACTTTACACAAATTATGATTTTATTTGTTAAAATATACAGTATATATAATGTATAACCTTTATAAGTGTACGCATTAGCTTCCTCTTGCTATTTATAAAACTCTTTTCACACTCTGCTGCAACCATTGTCCACTGCTTACAAGAAATTCATGAGCAGCCCGCTAAGAGCTCATCAAATGTGACTCCAGCCTGCAGTTTAATTTATGGTAACCACACTGTAAACATTTTACAAACACAGTACGTGAGGTTACAAAATCGATTCAACACCACAAACTTGTATGAAAACTAAGACAACGATAAAAACGATGCATAAACAATACCATACAAACATTAAAGCTAAAATACATAACAAATTGAGATTCTTTCGCACTTCCAGTTACTGGCGACCCATCACCCACATTTATGAAGAGTTACTTTTCTTAATGCAACTGAAAGGCGGGAACCTCGTAAGCAACCACAGCACAAATATATCCTTAAATAAACATGAAAAACATTAAAATGTCCGTAAATACAATTCTTAAGGAAAATTCTTCATGCACCTTTGACTGGTGGTTAAAAAGGTTGATGTGGCAAAGTTAAAGAGCCAGGAGTGACACAAGGAGTCGTCTAATTATCGCTAGCAGCACAATATCAACCCGGTGCAAGTTAACATCACAACCAATCATCCTGAAATCCTATGACAGATGATTACTCAGCACACTTGATATTTCAATCATCCTATAAAGCCATATGTCTGTTTAGTAGTTCGGCACCGAATGTCTTTTTTACATTTCAAGCTTCTATTTAAGTTTTTATATGACGCTTCGAATTTCTGTCGTCATATTTTATGACATCGTCACCCAAATTATTTTAAATGATTGCGGTTATATAAATGTAATTTACGGTACCGTTAGATTGCTGCTATACCGACCCGTTCATACAGGTACATGCATCCCTTTGTCTGTTATTTGACCACAGTTCAAATGTTTCTGAAAGGCTAAACGTCAACAAATATGGATTGAATTTCAATAAATTGTAACTTTTTGGACTTAAAGCTCTGGCGTTGTGATATTAGTGTAGCCTAATCTTTATCTGCAACTGTGAAGACATACGGGGGTTTTAACAACAATGAAAAGACACAAAAAACAAAAACAGCTGCACAGCATTCGTGTGTTGATTTAAAATTCAAACGTCAACGTTATAACAAAACTCTGAAGCTTCAAACTATCCTGTGCAGCCCTACTTTTTAGTGCGAGATATATCAATTGTGATTACCGTCGTTTTTTGGAATGTAAACAGATTATTGCTGTTTCTGAACAAATATGACAGTACACAGAAACACCTCGCCCTGTTGGGGACTGGAAGCGACTGTGTGCTGCTCTTTGTCGAAGGTGGCAAAATTAACCAGCTAGACTTCATCCTTGGAGTCTTTTCTCTTGTAACACTAACACATACAGTAAACAATCTCACCTTTGTGCAGCTTTTCCAAGTTTTTAAATTGTGGAATGGACTTGCTACTGCCCCTTGTGGCCAATGGGGGGGAAACAAACACTGCAGCTGCAGTTATGTTTTTCTTTTTATGCTCTCTGTCGTCAGGGGAAAGTTATAAACCCATCACTGCTTGACGCACCAAAATGAGGCGTAGACTCTGCACTAGAAAAATACTTGGACAAAAGACACAAAGGTGACATTTATGCAGTGTTGAAAGTGTTGTTAAAGAGTCTATTTTTGGAAGACATCCATGATGAAGCTGCCAGTATGCAACCTACCACTTATGCAACTTCCCAAAATCTATTATCCACACTCACTGCACGCCATGATTGTTTAGCTGTGTCGAGGTGCTCTCTTTTTTGATTATTCACACAACTATTGTCGTCACTTTTCACGTCAACAAACAAGTGCAGCACGATGAATGCCTTCCAAAAAAAGACTGTCGCTGTTCCCTGTATCTAAATAACATCCCTCCCCCTTTTGATGGCCAGCTTTTCACTTCGTCTTCGAGTGTAGCAGTTCAGAACAACTAGAAAACACTTGATTTCCAACGTGGTCAGACAAACTAGTTCTGACTGAGCGTAACCCGACCCTGAGGACTAACTGTTTGGTTTGGTTAACTTCCCCACCTTCAATTTGAAGGTAGTGGCTTGCCTTAGCTTTAGTATACATTCCGCCAGGCCTTTCAGATTGAAAATGTAACGGGGGGGGGGGGGCTTCCATGTCCCAACTCAGTGCGCTGGGTTGACATCCTGGTTCTGGTTTTGGTTGAGATTGTTGTTGAGATTGTAGAGCGCTTGGTGACGATGGTGCCGATGCAAGTGGATGGCGTTTGACTCGGGGATCTCAGTAGGTCCAAACGCACTGGTCACCTGGGGCATGAACTGGCGGAATATGCTGACGCTGCCGTGCCAGAAGGTCGGCTGAGGTAGTCGTCCAGCAAGAGTCCATGAGCGGGTGGTCGGATTGAACGCCTCCACCACATCCGACAGCTCAAAAGTATTGTCATAACCACCGGACACGTATAATTTACCGCCCAGGGCTGCCACACTGCCTCCAACGTGCACCTGGATAAAAGGAACGACATCAAGAAAACGTTACTTACATTTTAATACATTCGTATGAATATATACACACACAAGGAAAATTGGTAATGTTTTGTTTTAGATGGAAAATAGGAAATACATTTATGATTAAATATGTGCCAAGACCAAAAACAAAAGAAAAGTAATGAGTTAAATAAATAAGAAGAGAAAGCTACTGATTGGAGGTTAAAGGATAATTATAAAGCTTTACATTTCTTTTTACACACCATGTGAATTCTTCAACAAAAAGAAGTATTACTTATTGATTTATTTTGCGATGCAGTATTTTGGGGCTGATACCGTATGTTCAATTCATATCATTAGAGGCAGTAATCATTTTAAAGTAATCATAATGAAGTCATTAGGCCAGATAAATGCATCTATCCCCTTTACTGTATTCAGAGAAGTCATATCAATTAGTGACTAACTGCAGCAGTTATTATTTTTGTGTTGCTGACCCCTCTGATCACAAGTCAGAACTATTAGAGATCATAACAGCCTAATAAAAGCATGCTCACAGACAAGTGTCAGATGTGAAATACAAACCTGGGTCATCGGACTAATTTTGTCCCACTCGTTCTTTTGAGGATTATAAACATCGACCTCGGGTGAGTCATCCCTACGAATAGAAGCACACCAAAGTTAAGCCGCTGCTGAATCAATCATTACTCATTACATATTCACGCAAACTTCACTGACTATTGCAACAACAATGTATCACGAGCAAATATCTCTTTCAGGACTTTTAAATAATGACTCATATCCCAAATATTAAAGTAGTCTTCCTGTAAGTGAGACATGGACGTATAATGTAACTTGTATTTGACTCTTAACTAACCTAAACTAATGATTAACAACATGTTGTACATTGATTTTGTATGTTACAAAAGTACTACATTCTATATTAGTGGAATTCTGTTTTCTCATTTCTCACGGGCCGGAAACTGGGCAGAAAAGAAGAAGATGAAAATGCGCACTCAAGTGGTAGAACAACAGAATGACTGTTTACGAGACGAAATAGTAATGCCTTTATCAGTGTTAACCGCACGTGGAAGGAGTTCTCAGATCCGATCCACAATTTTTATTTACTTAAGTATTAAAAGTAAAAGCGATTGTTCCTCAGAAAATCTGCCCCTGTGACCGATATCTTATTTTAAATGACATCATTAATACTAATACATCAATGTGTAAGCAGCAACAGTTTCGTCTGGTCGAGGTGAAGCTAATTTTAGTTTTTAGTTTTCTCCAGTGGTGCCAAACCTAGTAGCTGATACAAGATAAATCTGTGGGGTCGTGGGATGATTAATGGGAGAAAGAAGGAAAAACAAAGTTCCGATACAGAAATTTGGATCACTTTTTCTCTAATCTTTTCTTTTTTTGTGAAACAATGGAGAGTTTTACCTCTTTGGGCCATTGATATTGTGTCATTTAAATGAAAAATATTTCAGGGAGATGTGTCTTTTTGGTGGATCTGTCCCAACTACACACTGATTTTTTGTTTTTGTAAAAAAGGTTGGAAACATCTTGTTAGTGTGTTAAATGTTTTAAATCTTAATCTGAGAAGTAACTGGTAACTTTAGTTATAAATGTGGCGTGAAAAGTATTTCTCTCTGAAACGTAGTGGACTAGAAGTTGGAGTTACATAAAAAGGATATACCCAAGTAAAGTACAAGTTCCTCAAAATTGTATTTAAGTACAGTGCTGGAGTAAATGATCTCAGTCACTTTCCACCACGAGTGTTTACAATTAGTATCTGGATCAAAAGAAACCAAGCCAATTCTTCTCCCGCGCACACACAAGATGATGGTAAATTAAAGTTTAGATGTATAACTGAAGTCACTTCTCTCCTCACCTGATGAAGTAGATGAGGCTTTTGAGGGTAACAGTTTTCGGTGTGAAAGACCACGGCGGCAGCTGTCCACAGCTGACCATGGCCCAGCGGTTGGTGTCTGCATCATAGCCCTGGATGACCATGGTCTCCTCCCCAGTCAGGGAGCCGATGGCATACAGGCGTCCGCTGCACGTGGTGGTGGAGCAGTTGTCCATGGCGTGCAGCATGGGCGGTAAGGCCTCCCAGCAGTCCAGAGCGTGATCGTAGCGCTCGGTGCTGTCCGACGCCACCACGTAGAGCTGACCCTTCAGCACACAAGAGCTGTGGTACTCGCGGGCCTTCAGCATGGGCGCCGCCTCTGTCCACTCGTTGACGCTAGACTTATAGCGCCACACACCGTCGTAGAGACGAGAGCCGTCAGAGCCACCTGGAGGACACAGACGCGTTGTCTCGACGGTTAATATGCATCAAGGATTTCATGGTGCACTATAACTGCAGATAATAATATACTGCAAAGGAAAACAGCAGATAGATTTTAATCCTCCGGGTAATAAGATGAACAACAATTCTGTCCAAAATCAAAGATTTAATATCTCAAGCTATATTAAGATGCCCTTTAACTTTTATTGCTTTAACTTGTCATTATGATGTAATTGTTGATTGCACAATGTAATGGCTGTAGATTCATGACACCATCTGTGTTTTGATTTAAACCTCGCTATGTAATTCTGTGTGCCACCGGGAAAATGAAAGTTTTAAACTTTTTTTTAAAAAGCCTAATGTACCTGCTCAATATTGATTCAAATTTGACACCAATTATATTACATTTAGTTATTCAAAATAAATTGTATCAAAGGTTATAAAATAAAATCGAAATCTACCTGTCGCCACGACAGTATGTAAATCATATGCTATTGCTGTCATCTAAGGATTGAGCTAACATTGCTAAATTTGTTTTCTTTTATAGGATCCAAGCTCTGAAACATGATGATGATGATGATGATGATGATGATGATGATGATGATGATGATAACTCCACTGCTGTCCTGGCAGCACACCATGTCCTGCCTCTACTCTGCCTTAGTCACACAGGGAGACACTAACCAAAGAGCCTGCAGTTTATTTATACAAGCACAGTCTGACGGCCATTACATAAGATGAAGGAGCGGGAATGGAAATCTACTGACTGGAGCGTTCACGCTACAGTGAATCTAATATACACAGCGACTGTAACCACTGCACCACACTGTCTGTGACACCAGATAATGCCAAACTCTTACTTCAAGATGGAGTAGATCATCCTCTGTGCTACATTTACATGTTCTATACTACTGTGTAAAAAGGTGTTTGAATGCCTCTGACTAACTTACCTGTGACATACATATCGTTTCCGAGGGCAGCTATGCTGTAGCCTCCTCCGAGGTGATCAGGGAACTCGGCCAGGTAGCGCCACTGTCCGGTCTGGGGGTTGTAACAGTCCACTGTGACCAGCTCATCGCAGTCCTGGTCGCAGCCTCCTACCACCACCAGGATTTCTGCCAGCCCTGTAGACGGCCGCGGCCGCATTCGGTGGCATGGTCTGTCATGTCGGTCGTACTCGCAGGACTGGAAGCTACGAGCCTCGTTCACCATGCGAAGGCAGGTGGGTGACAAGTAGACGAGCGGGTCGCTCTCCACATGGGCCAACAGGAAGAACCTCCTGACGAAGGGGAGTCGGACCTGCTGGAGGAGCTCGGGCCAGTAGTGCAGTCTCCGCTGGAGGTCAGCCTTCACCCAGCGCAATGCAATTTGATAAACTGCCTCCTCCTTGTCAACGCAAAACTCATCGTCCGACACAAACTCAAGGAGGCGCTTCCACGGCAGCCGGTCAAAGTCTGTGGCTTTAGCCAGCTCCATTATGTTTTTGAGGACAAAGCGGCGAGCGCTTGTCGCCAGCTCTCGGCAAGCGTAGGCCTCTGCAAAGTCCTGGATCTCTAAGCAGTTGGAGACGTCCAGCCGCTGCTCAAGAAAAGCACAGCAGGCCTCCTTGACAGAGGGGAACTGAAACAGATCTGCCGTCTTCAGCAGGACGTCCACATTATCCTGCGTGACGGTGACTCGTCCCGTGTAGCAGAAGTCCACCAGCAGCCCTAAAAGCTCAGCTGACACCTCATGTAGAACTACCCGGTCCATAACGCTCTCCTTTAAAGTTCCTGCGAACATAGCTCGAAAGTAGGTGCTGGCAGCGGCCAGCACTGTGCGGTGGCAGTGGAACTCGCGGCCCTCAGCACACAAAGTCACATCGAAAAACTTCCGTTCGGCACGGAGTTCGTGGATTCCCCGCAGCAGGTTGAAGGCGTGGGCCGTGTCGAAAAAAGGTAGGGTGGACGGTTGTGTCTGCAAGACTGGCTTTTCCATCTCTCCTCTCTCTGAGTGTCTCAGTATCCGATGGTTGTGGTCAGAACGATGTTTTCGTCTGAAACAGATGTACACCAGAAACATACATCAACTTACAACCCATCACATGTTCTATTATACCATTATATGTTCCACACCATGCAAGGCCGCCACTAACAATTACTTTCACTATCAATTATTGTGCTGATTATGTGTCAAAATAAAATAGCAAAAAATACCCAATTCAGTTTCCAGAAGCCCTTCCTAAAGTCTTTAAACTGCTCATTTTGACTGAGCAACAGTCCAAAACCCAAAGATATTCAGTTTACAATCACTTGAGTCCAAGAAAAGTAGCAAATCCTCACAATAGAGGACCTGAAACAATGGGATTTGGGCTTTCCAAAACAAAATAAAATCCATACACAGTGGCCTGTGATGGGGAATGATGACTTTTAAATGTTTAAAAAAAAAATTTCAAATTTACAAACCAAAGAACAAAAGCAAAGAGGATGCATCATTTAACATTTCAAAAACCTCAGAGCCAGATGAAACGTTGCAATTCATTAGAAATCCAGTTAACTACACTGATAAGTAGTGGTTACTTCAGAAACTATACAACTAAACATGCAAGTATTGTAACAGCCATCTCCATAATAAATAAACAGTTTTTAGTCCTACCTGATGAGCCCCTCTAGGCATGTTTCGTCTATAAAACACGACGGCGAAGCTCAGCACGACTCTGGTCTCTCTCGAGAAGATACAGAGCTTCTTGTGCTCAAGGGCTATAAATACACGCGCAGTGTCCATTTCAAGGCACGGGTGGGAGGGGGGGTTTAGGGAGAACACCTAACAGGCTGTGAGCTGATGCTGTGGGGAGAGTTTAAGCTCCCCCATTGGTATGTCTCTGTGGTCAGTCAGCATTAAGTAAGTGGTCTTTGAGAAAGGAGCCAGCTGAGCCCAGGCCTCCTCACCACCTTCTGCAAAGCAGCACACCAAAACACAAAAGCTCCCCGTCATAATATTCTGTTAGCCAGGTTACCAAAGCAGACCTGCTTCGATCACAGCCGACAAACAGGAACAGGGACGGACCGAGTGTCAAAAACTATACTCTCAATCAGCTGTAACTGTCATGAATGTTAAAACTAGAAGGTGGCTACGAGATCCAGCTTTATTTAGTTTTCACTGCTAGTTGTATGTTAGAAATGTGCTAAAGCTAATATAGGATTGTTCTAGATCCACAGCTCCAGCTACTGTAATGTGAGGATTTGCTGCTTTTCTGTTTTATTCTTTTCCTTGCAAACTAAATGTTAAAATTAGTGACATATTTCCAGTTGACGACAATATTTAATGTAATATAATAGTCAATATGCAGTAACTCACTTTGTTGCCTGTATATTTTTGTCTTGAGAGCAGAAAGGTCAGACAGAATGTGGAGTATATTCATTCCCATGCAAATACAATAATGATAAAAAATGAGGCATCTAATCTTGACCCTATAAGGTGTTGAAAAGAGTGCTTCAATCATTCATGGCTGTAGTGAGTTTAACAGTAAAAGTATAGCGGACTTTGACATCATATTGTATTACATTTTACCAGGAGAAAACAATAAATAAAAAACAAAAACAAACACACAAGTTGCTACCGAGTTGGTAGGAGTCTACATTAAAGGCCTATCTAGGATTATTGTCAAGATGAGATAATCATTCTTTCTCAAAATACACAAGCATCTCCTGACAGAGATTTGTTTAAAGGTTGTAGTAAAGCTCCTCTGGCCAGAAGAACCTAGCACACATTCCACACAAGTGTTCAACAATGCAGCGGTGCACATACTGGAGCTCTGTGAGGGATCAAACTGCTCTCCTGAAGGGCAGACAGGATCTCACAACCCAGACCCGCACTGAAAAAACACCTAACTTCTGTAGAAGTGATTGTCTTTACGTTAGAGGGGATAACGGCATTTCCTTACATAGACGTCGTGAGCTTTCCTTTTACTCAGTCGTGTATGTTTCTTACTCCCACTGCCCTCTGTTACAAATACCTGAAAAAGTAAATTAATAACTATCACATCTGGTCTTTATATAAATATTTTAGCTGTGTTTTTTTTATCGTTTTTAAAGCCATGACTTCCTCCTCAGGTCAGAAGTATTGAGCAACTTACGATCGGCGTGTTCCAAGAATAGGCGATAGAAATGTACGCTCTCAAATGAAGGGAGGGAAGGAAGGTGAGAGGGAGGGGAGATGTGTGGAAACAATCTCACTGCTATGAGCGACGAGTACGGAGAAACCGGTGAACCAGCCAGCATCGAAGGGATCAGCATCCCTTTCATCACGTACTATAACAGTGTCAGCCTGAGGTACAATGCTGTTAGTCAGAGGACATTAGTAGCATCCTGGACTAAACTATGGAGGAGGGGAGGGTGGTGTATATTATTGTTCATCTATTCCTGTACTTGGGAACCATGGTACAAGTGTATTTGGTGACAGGCAAATAATCAGAACGACTGTAAATAGAAACTCTGACTAAGTGAACTTACTGAATCAGAGTTTAAACCAGGAGTGTGAAGAGTCCACGGCCGAGATAGCGGCGTTAAGCTACATGCTAGCGTAAGCATGACGCTAACATGCTCATGATTAGCATGCTAGCATTTGCTAATGAGCACCAAACACAAATTATAGCTGAGACTGATGGGAATGTCATTTTTATTTTTATTTATTTCAGAAATTTTCAGATGAGTTTGTCAAATAATTTGGTTTAGAAAACATGAGGGATTGACAAAATGATTAAAAATGATCTTTAGGGAGATATCAATGTATGAACCCAACTTCGTGGCAATCCATCCAACAGTTGGTAAGATATTTCACAAAGACTACAGAGGTCAACGCGATGGCTGCGCTACACGACAAACTAAAGTCAGTAGGATGCATCCTCGGGTGAACATGAATATCTGAACCAACCCACAGACCAAGATTCAGAGTACAAATACAAAGGCAAACAAAAAACAAAAAAAAAGCAAAAAATTACAACATCATCTTGTAAAAAGCCAACTTTAAACACTGCAATCTAGAAAGAAACCAGTGCTCGACGTATTCACTGCATAACTTTGTGCCACAGACCCCATAAAACTGTGGCTTCCAAGAGTCCAAGTATTCAGCGAGTACATAATGTTTGTTCAGGAGCTGTTCTGTGCATGACAACAGGGTAAATCAAAAACAGGCTCAGTTTTCAAGAAGGTGTTTGCAGTGCGTTCTCCATCTCTTGGTTTGAATGCTAGCGTTGCCCCTTGCTGGTACGAGCGTGCAATTACCACCGAAGACAATTTACATCGAGGCTTTAACGTTATTTTGCATTTTTTGTCATCTCCGTATCAGTGATCATAACAGGAGTACAGCTCTAGCGTTTACAGAATCAACTCGGCTATTCATATTTAGTATCTTAGTCTGCAAGTGTTAAGATCAGGCTACTTGTATTGTACACGACAGAATATGAAGAGAGGCACATAACCTGGAAGGCATTTTGTTTTTCTGCAGCAGTGCCCAGTTGTAGCACAGCACCTTGTGGGCTCACCGCACCGAGACAGCTGCTCTCTCCCTGCTGTCGATCCAGGCCGCTGGGGCCGAGGCAGCCATCACAGTGGACTTCTCCACAGCTGAGCCTGTCCTGGCCATAAAAAGGCAACCGCACCACACTCATATCACCCCCCCACCCCCCCAGTGAGGAGGGCCAGCTCAATGCTGAAACAAGGCCCATGTTTAGACCTGGCATTAACATGCGCCGAGAGTGATCCAATCACAAATGGACGGAAACAACTTTTTTTCTAAATATTCTTGATTGTGGAGATCCAGGTTGCTCAGCATTACAGTTTAATCACAGCACGAAACAACAGCTTGACTGTTACTAAACCACTAACTCTGAATTTACCACTACTGTTGTACTTAATGCATACACGTGATGTGGCTGGCTACTCGTCCTAAAACACATGTAGCTCGATACCTCATGTTCATTCTTAAAAGCCAAAAATGCATTTTTTCAAATATTCTTAAGATGTGCTCCATTGCCAATAAAGTGAGAATTGGTAGATTCATGTTTTGAGTGAAGTATTCGGTTTGATTTTGTAATTCTGTGATATAATACAGTCACCACAAAATTAAAATAAATACTGTGATAAATATAGGTCATATCGCCCACCCCTAACTAATGCATTTACATTTGATATTGAGCTACATTTGAGAGTGATTTTTTTGTTTTTTTCACAGCTATAGTTACGTAGCAGCATATCACTTAACATGTAGGCAAATATGATCAACTAATAAAATATGATGTATTGCTATAGATTAAACTACCCAACACTTACATTAAGTTATTAAATGTTAGCTCCACCTTACCGATTAATTCCAAAAGAATCACAATTCTGCTTGAATGACTATTTATCAGTATGATACTATAGAATAATAGTATTCCAATAACATGCTGTATGTTGTAAATACAACAATTTGAGAGGTGCATTTTGCATGAGTACTTTAATTGTTTTCTACTTGTTATGTACTTTCACTTGAGTAAAGTGTTGAATGCAGGACTTCTTACTTCACAAGATGAAACACGCTGGTCTTATAGTGAAGTTGAGAGACGTTTTCACTTCTCCACACACATTGGAAGTAGATGTAGCTGTGCCAGAAACCCTCACTCTGCTTCTACAGGACTTTCACTTGCGATATAATTGTATTACTGCTGTATTGCTCCTTTAAGTTAAGTAAAAGCTGTTTTCTCTACGTCTTCCACTACAGTGCCTGGCTGAAAGTGTTCTTGAATTCAGCGAACCCCTACCTGGTCAAGTAGCACTTTTAATGACTGAGCTCACACTCCTGCTACTGCCAAGTGAATAAAGCAGCACATTATTCAGTAATCTTGTATTGGGAAAGTAGGGTAAAGGAATTTTTAGTGCTCGTTTCATATTGTAAAACCACAAGGGATCATTTCAAATACCAAGCAGTGTGCTCCTTCAACTGCCCAGGCTACATTCCTGTAATTCCTGCTCCTGTAACAGTTACACTTAGAGGTTGCAATCAGTGGAGGAAGAAGTATTCAGGCCTTCAATATGAAGGTAACTAGCAATACTACAGTGAAAAATACTCGGTTACAAGTAGTCCTGCATCCAAACGCTTACTTTAGTAACAGTACAAAAGTATTATCATGAAAATAAACTTAAAGTGCTAAATTCATTATGCAGAATGGTCCATTTCAGAATAACATATATCACATTACTGGATAATATTTATTGATTCATTTATGTGTTGGCCTATACAACACTCGTGGAGCTTAACTTTAATACATAATTTATTACTATTGATTTATATTTTGTATTTATAATATAAATCTGCAAAGTCACTAAAGCTAATAAATAAATGCAGTGGAGTAGAAAGTACAATATGTACGCAATAAGTAGAAATAAAAATACTCAAGTAAAGTAGTTACACTCACCTCAAAAGTGTACTTACGACGAGTACTTGAGTAAATGTAGCAATGTACTTAGTTACATTCCACCACTTGTTATAATAAACATTTGTATCACTGCTGCAGCCATACAAGTCCACATTATGGAGCACATGAGGCCTCAGACAGAGAAAACAATTCCTCTTCTCAAAGCCATGTTTGGCCTGTGATAATATTCAAATGCAGAAGCTAATGCTGGGTCATAACTCAGATACATAAGGCCCAAAGACCCCCCCCACACACATACACATACGAAGTGTCAGTAAAAGCTACTTATTATGACAACAATGCGTAAGAACGTACACGTAATGTTTACAAATGGCTCGCAGCGATATTTTCCAACATAAGTTTACGCACCGCTATTGTCGATCTGTCCTCCGCTTGCAAGAAAACGAACATAAAAACATGCCGACTCAGTTTCAGTCAACTTACCGCTATGTGTCTTCTCCTGATGTTAATAATCGTAAAGAGTATTAGGAGTTAACACCGTATGAATCGAGCTGTTTGATGCCGTGGATGTCTTCGGCCTCTCTGCGCCATGATACCCTCAGCTGTAACGAATGTTGCCTTCACGTGGTGTCGGAATTATTAAACTTAACACGCAGACGAAAATCCTTAGGTTGGATTTGGGTTGTAAAAGAGATGTTGGCTGCTAGGTTATACTGGGAATTGTATGTGATTAGTATATTCTGGTGTGTGATCGTAATTTTACTATTTGAAGTTTGAAATAGAGTGTATATTTTTATATTTTGAATTAAAATGAAACGATAACAACAATAATAATGGTAATAATGCAAATGGCCAAAATATACAATAAAAGTTGGGGAATTAAGTTGCAAATAGTTAATTATTTAGTTTCATATCAAAAATAGACCAGATGAAAGCCTAGAATGAGTACTTGAACTCAACATTTAAAACTGTCAGCTAAAACAGTAACACATGCAAGTACTTGCAATATATGAAAAAATTGTTCGAATATCTTTAATTTCAAGGATCCCCAAAATACACTCTCAATTGCACCAACGACTCGCATTACATAACATTTAGAGAAATCATAAATAAGTTAAATTTAAAATTTTGGCATTTTAAAGGGTTATGTGTGAAGTTTTCTGTAAAACATATAGAGAAACTGCTCTTACAAGGGAAAGGACTACCAAATGTTTTCATGTCAAGGTTCACAACAAACCGTAGGTATTTATGGAAGCCTCTTTCCGCCAATGTGATGAAAACAAATTACGTTAGTCATTATAATAACTTATTATTGCAAAACAAGGACATAGTAACTCAAAATAATGAAAAACTTTCTCACCATGACGACTGAGTATCTCAAAATGAAGGTATGTTGTACAATATTTTGGAGATACAGAGTCATTATATTAAGAAAGTGCCTCAATATAATGACTTACAGGATCTTTCTTTTTCATTACATTGGCAGAAATGGGCTTCCATATTCAAATGGGACCCCTAATTTGGCAGTATAGAGAGAAACATCATGCGATGTTTGTGTTATGTGACTTCAGAGAGGTTGGAATCATTTTGTAATTTTATGGCGAACTCTGGTGGCAGTGCAGGAGAATAAACCAAAGGGTCAAAACCCGGTCAAAGGGAGACGTAAGAGGTTCTGACATGTCAAGGTATAGGAATAACAAAGGCGTAAAAAATGAATGATGGCTGAACTGTGTATAGCTGCTTCGTTTTCAGAGTCCTGGTAATGACTCACTGCCACATGAAAACGGTCAGGAGGGATCAGTCCATCTACATCCTGCTCTACGAGATGTTAATCTCATATCAGGAAATTGTAGATCTTTCACTTTGAGGAATAGCTGCAAGGACTGGCATCGATTCACTTCTATGGCTGCTCTGCTAAAGCTGTACTGTTTCTTTAATGGCAGTTTAATTATCAGGTAATTATCATCACCAAGCTTACCTTATTTAAATTGTCTTAGACTTAAAAACATTGAATTAATTTGGACATTAAAAGTTTATTAAATTCATCTTTTGAACAATGCTGTGTTTAAAATTAACTCCTGCGTGATTAGTGAGAAAAACAATCATACTTCAAAAGTCTGAAATTATGAAATCCCACCAGTGCACCATTCTCTCATCTTCTAATTAAAAGCATCATCAACATTTTCCATCTCTCACTGCCCACGTTTGGAAAATAAATATTCGCTTGAAGGAGTATTCACAACCCTTTCTTTGTGCAAAAAAAACCTTGTACATGAGATGTATTGCGCTTGAATAGGAATTAAATATACACATATAAACAATTTATAAGATGTCTCAGCCTAAACTAACAGAAGTGTCAGAAAATATGAAGATGGAATTCAGATGATGATCGTATGAATGAATACATTAATTCGTCAGGTTTTCTCAGTTGTTTTTTTTTATCCGGCAGAACACTGACACGGAATATCCCTGAAGGCAATCACACTTTCTATTTTAATAAACTGCTTAATATTCAGTCCATGGAGGACACGTGAAGTTTTCTACCTTTGCCTCTTATTCTGCAGAGGGCGATTCCGAAAAGACAAGAAAGAAATGATGGCCTGGAGTGTAAAATGTAAAATAAAGAGTGAATTACCCTTTCCAGTGCAATTAAGAGTGACCTGCTGTTGAACGTTTTCTGGCCTCACTTTGTCCTTCAGGCATTGTAGATGTGGGATTTGCTGACGGACATCTTAGACAGCGGTCGCAGTGACATTGCACAAAATGCTGCCAAATTAGCTGCTCAAAGAAGGTCTTCTATGAATTGATACTGACATTTTATATCACCTGAGTGAGATTTAGTAATTAAATTCTCACTATGACACTTGGTTTTTCTTCCTCAGAGGAACAGGAATGTAGTTGATCGTTTAGACAAAACGCACAGATATAGTTTGAAAGACATAATCAGACTTTTATTGGGGGGGGGAATACTTCTATTTGCTTTCTTGCGAGTAAGAACAGACGATTGATACCACTTGCTTTATGGATAATCATGGAGCTACAGCCAGCAGCTGGTTAGCTTAGCTTAGCATGAAGACTGAAAACTGGGGGTAACAGCCTGGCTCTGTCCAAATGGTAACCAAATCTGAGAGCACCTCTAAAGCGCAACACGTTATATATCTTGTTTGTTCAATCAGTACTAAAAGCTAAGTGTAAAAACAACGTGGTTTTATAAGCGGTTATATGTTGAACTTCTCTATTCCTTAAATTTACACCCGCCTTAAATCATTTTTTCAGGCCACTTGATGGTAGCTGTAAACACAGCACTGACATATCATCTTCATCCATTGAAGTTGATATAGCAAACTTGTCAGCAAACAGTTGCTTATTTAACGTCTACAGAAATACTATTCTGTATTCTGCCAGACAAGTCAGTGTGGTCACAGCAAATTGGATGTTCATGGATGTTTGCACAACAGCCTACGCTGCACCCACTGATGAAGAAATTCACGCAGGGTGGAGTGATAATTATCTGTGGGTCTGCCACAATGAGTGACACTTTTCATATCCACAGCCATTTAGGCTTTTGTTATGATAAAAATATTGATTATAGCAGCTTTAAACTTGAATCATTAATTCACCAGAGCAGTCATACTGTCAAATATGATCACCCTTATGTCTGATCCTGCAGTCAGAACGGAGCCATTCTCATAATTTGTGGCCCCACCTCATTGGCATATATTGTAAAAACTATGGAAAAATAATCTACCATCAGCCCAACATTTTACTGCTTCCATGTTCCTCCAAGAACAAGGGATAGATGAACACAAAGCATATTTAAAAAATGAATGCTTGCACCCGTTCAGTCACTAGATGGAGACATTCTATAGTATTTATGTTATAGCCACACTTAACATCTGTTGACCCAATAACTCTCAGGGGAAAAATAATATCTCCCTCATTAATTACGGAATAGTAATTAAAAAATATGATGTTGACACTCTAATGCTTCTGGGCATCCTTGACTAAATTGCACTGGCTGTAAACAAAACTTTGCTTCTCTAAAATGATACATTTAGAGGGCTTATATTTTAGTAGTGGCAAGACTGCCTGTTTACATGAGGCCAGGCTGTTTACATGACGTACATGTACGTACACACTTTAAAGTTAAAGTTTCCATGCTGATTGTAAAAACATTATTTAATAGGGTTGTCTGCAAAGTCCTTCTTAAGCTCTAAATAACTGCCAGCTACTTTCAAACAAGGTTGCACCATTAAACAACAACTTTTTTAGTATTAGCTGTAAAAAACATTCCAACTATTCCTAAAATTATCATTGTTTTATGGATAAATGTTAATGCAGTTCAGAGAGGCAAACATATGATAATGCTAACTGATGTTACTGAGTTAAAAACATTACTGGCATTACGTTTTGAGATTTGAGGTATGTTATGTTGTGCTTAGGGACAAATTATTCTAAATCTCCAAGTTTAAATCATAAGTACACGGGTCAGATGTGTTAACCATATTTCATTCCATGTCATATAACCAGTACCTTCTGTGTCCCTCGCAACACCTGGCAATGACGTACGTATTTAGTAACAACTAATATCTACAGAAGAACTTGATTATGTGATTTGTGTTTTGATTTAATGATGTGTAAGTTAGCCACTTAATAAATACCTATAACTGAGTTTGAACTTGCAAACAGCTGGTCAACATACTAATGTTCTGTAGCTAAATACAAAACACTGTATTTTAGTAATTTATAAGTGCTTTTAGTGTGAAGTTATGTCAAACACCAATATTAGGCTAAATATAGAATAACTATAGTCACCTCAAGGCATCGTATGAAGTTGATTTTAAAGTGCATAATTTATCAAGACATGAATTACTCAGTCAATCAACTCATTCCCGCATTATTTCTTGCTATGAGCATAAAAACAAACAAACACTCGGCTAATAAAGCCCTCTCATGGTGCAGCAGGGAATCGACTGGACAGCAGTTACATCCATAACATTGATGGTTAATGAACATTTGTTGTCGTGATGCTCTGTTGCATATTTAAGGGCACAGCACATTCGCTGGGTAAATATTGATCTGACAAACTGCAGGTTTGAATGACAATGCATCTCCCCGGAGACGAAAAAGTGAAAGAAACCCCCCCAATAACGAAGTTACATCAATGTGAAGTCTGAAAGAAGCGGGATGACAGAGGAAGCGAGAGGAGGCAAACAAGTGATGTACACAGGGTTGCTGACGAAGGGAGAAAACTGAGAAGTTGCAGAAGAAGAAGAAAGCAAAGCTCACTTGCACATCCAGTTGTTTTTTGCATGTAGGACAGTTATACAACAATACATGACAATAACAGCCTTCTTATGTTGTGCTACGATAGGTCAAGATGTGCTTTGGTTAATTGAATTCCACATTTATTGTTGCACAGCGGTGCCTCTCCATGTGGTGATGGCTTTGATGGGCCTGATATTAAGGCACCC